TGCCATGTGACACAGCTTGCATAGGAAAATTGGTCTCTCCAACTTTTCTTTTAGAGTTTTGTAGAATTGTGCATTTTGACATAAACTGTTATTTCTTCCTAAATGTGTATTTAAATATACATATTGTTTATATTGGATATAAAGAATTTAAAGAAACTATTGTTCAATGTAGGCAGGGATGATTAAAATTCCGATTATAATATTTCCATACATTTTAACCAGAGTGCAAAGTTTTTAACAGATGAATTTCTGAAGAACATCATGTGTGCCAGAGAACTTTCAATCTTCAGAACTATCTGATGTAGTCATAGTTTGTTTTAGTTTAGGATACCTGAGGAGTTTACAGAGGCCAGATAGTTTTCATTAAAATGAATATTATGAAATAAAAAATACTTTTGAAAGAGAGTATTTTCATAATGCAAGAACAAAGGAGGGCTTAATTTTATGTCATCCTGAGAAATGAGGGAAACCCAAAGGAGAAATTTAATCCCTTGCAAGGTTAAAGGGAAGTCAGTTGAGTGCCACTATTCACTCCCCTTTCTCAAAAGCATTCTTTCTGATACAACTTAGATGGAGGAAAAGAGAAATGGTATTGCAACCTAGGTTCATACCTAATGGATGCCTGAGGGGATCTAGACAAATCCAAATTATTTGAATCCTAGTCACCCTCCACATCTCACCACCTTGAGCTGGCGTGTGGGTCTTTTGATAAAGAGAGCAGTGTCATAGAGTGTCAATTTAAAAAACAAATCAAAATCTCATTGCTCAAGAAATTCGAGTTGACATTGGGATGAATGCCTCCAGCTTACAAATTGTTTTACTAAAAACTGTACATTGAGAATGTGTTTTCTTTCATTTTACATGTTTCTTAGAGATTTTTTTTCTTGTCTGCAGGCATATCCTGCATTTTCTGTTTCAATCCTTTCCTAGAGCAATCCTGTTTTAGGGGAACAGGTGTTAATGTATTGAAAGGAATAGTTAAATGTAGGCAGAGAGAGAGAGCACTGTGGCAGATCAATTATCACGATGGTTTCATCGTGATAAAATCCAACTAAAGTCACACAAAGAATATCCAGAAAGAAATTACAATATTCTTCTCTATCATAGTGGAAGAATAGAAAGAATTAGTCAAAATTAAAATAAGGCAATTCTGATTAATTTTATGTCATTAACCTATGCTTATACAACTCTTCATGCTATATGACCCTTATGTGAATGGAAAGCCAACTATTTGTGCAAATAAATCACCAATGTTTGCATAAAATTCCTGAGACTAAAATCCTTTTTTGCAAGCTCCCACTGGAGGTATTGATTGCACCAAACCTTGAAGAATAATCTGTTACAGACTCAACTTGGAATGAGAGCACCCTAGGGAGAGATAATAACAAAACACAAGGATGAACTTTAAATGTAAACACAGTCCTTAAAGTATAGAATGTAGCAGAGTCTGGCCAAAATGTAAAGTAACAGAGAAGTCTGAAGAATTGGAATTGCTGAGGCCTCTGGCTGCCTCACTAAGAAGTTTTGATGTATTTAATAAGAAATAGAGTGCTTGGGGGAATTTTGAATAGGGGAGAGCTATAGGAAGATGACCCACTTGATTAATCTATTTTTCACTTCTGCTATGAAGTATGTAAGAAAACAAAAAGATTGTCACACTCTTTCAAATACCCTACTTTGTATTAATAGTGTAAGTAAAAATTTTACTTGAAATAGGCCGGGTGCAGCAGCTTACGCCTGTAATCCCAGCACTTTGGGAGGCTGAGGCGGTCAGGAGGTCAGGAGATGGAGACCATCCTGGCTAACACGGTGAAACTTCATCTCTACCAAAAATACAAAAAACTAGCCAGGCGAGGTGGCAGGTGCCTGTAGTCCCAGCTACTCGGGAGGCTGAGGCAGGAGAATGGCGTAAACCCGGGAGGCGGAGCTTGCAGTGAACCGAGATCATGCCACTGCACTCCAGCCTGGGCAACAGAGCGAGACTGTCTCAAAAAAAAAAAAAACAAAAAACAAAAACAAAAAAAAACAAAAAAAACTTCTTGAAATAAATTGGCAGAGATTAAAATGTGATTTAGAGAAAATTTTGAGCAATTATTATTCAGATTTTTTCCTTCATATCATGAGCACAGAAAATTAGTTTTTTCGTTAAATAGAAGTTAATTTTTTTCTAGACAATCTCTAAGATGTTAAAATAATTTTCCCTTGACATAGGTTTTTAGGAAAACAAATGTTTTTCTAAAACTGAAAATCCCTTCCCAAAAAAATAAATATTTATTTAGATTTATCCATAGAACCCAGAGTTAAAACTATAACTCTTGTTGTTGTTTTTTGTTCGTTTGTTTTTTGTTTTTTGGTTTATTTTAAAGCTGATCTAGAATATGGCCTTCTTCTTCACAGCAGCCATGTATTTTTCTATTTTATGAAATGGTTTCTGAGGACTGCTGTTGTTTGTGGAATGAACTCTAAGATGCTAATTATTTGTAATTGACCCTAGAGATCTTTGGTGTGAAGTAATTTGTAAATTTGCTCCGGCATAAATGTGAGTCACGTGGAATAGGCAAACGTTCAGGTGCAAGTTGTCAAACTAGAGTGTAACTCTTCATAAGCACTAAGTGTCCATTATCCAAAGAGGTTTATGCTTCTTTCTACCCTACCATTAAGCGCGATGGAAAACAAAGGTCTGGAGAGGCAGTTACATTTATTCTGTCATAATTCACCTCATTTTAGACAAAAAAAATATATAATATAAACCTATTGCAATATGGAAATATGTAAAGAAAGTGCCAGTAATGCATGTGAAAGGATAGGATTGCTTCATATTACAAGTTGAGCAGACATAGGTGGAGAAAGTCTACCTGCAAGAGAGGCAAGCAGGTTTTTTTGATAGAATATCTGTGATTTTCTAGAAAATCTGGGTAAAATCAACAGAAGTCAAATTTTAAGTTGTAGGACTTTAAGATTCTAAATAATCTCTCAATAATGCTGGCAATGTGATCATTTAGGATTGACTCATTTGTTTTGGAAATCATAAAAATGGTCAAACAGTTGATTAAATGTTAATGTCAAACAGATTTATGCAACTGAATTTAGAATTTCCAATTTTGTAACAAGTGAATCAGATTTCATGTTTGGCTTGTGATCACTTGGCAATGAGTCACTACATTGGTACTCTAATGATCTGTAAATTAAATTTTTAAACATAGTATGAAATCCTGTATATTCTCGAGGATTAGTAAAATAGCTCACATCATGTCTATGTCATTGCCAAAATAATTAGATATTTATTGAGAATTCTTTAAAGTATTATTATTAGAAACAATAAGTCAAAATTATTTGCTTTCTCCCATCCGAGTACTAATCAAGCCCGACCCTGCTTAAATTCCAAGACTAGATGGGAATGGGCACATTTATGGTGATAGGGCCATAAATAAAATGATTTGCCTTCAACTTCAGAAAATAATTTCTCTCTGAGGTTTTACATGTAATGGTCTTTATTGGTTTAAAACTATCTCTATCTTATGTGAAACATTTACAGTGCAACTACACTTATTGTTAGATACAGACTCTGTGAATATCTTCAACCCTGTTTAGGTCGCAACTTTTATCATGCCCTAAAGAGTAGCCCAATAATTCTGTCTTCTGAATTCAAATTTTGACAAGAGGCTCTCCCCGTGGGTTGCTGATGAGAGTTGTCAATGATATTTCCCTGCAAGGGACAAGCTATCTTGTCAATGTTAGGCAGGCACTGTGAATTAAGCTTTGTCTAGTTAAAAATAGTCAAGATTCAATGTCTTTTCGAATTTTTTATTCTTTTTTGGAAATACCAAAAGATGTGTTAATATTCTTGCAGATGGTTGTGTATCTAGGGTAAATTTATTTAGAGTTTTTTAGTAAGAGGATAAACTGCCCCCTAAAGCATTGAAAATGTTATTTTTTTTTTTCTTTAACTATTGCAGAGGTGGGGAAGAGAAGAGAGTAGAAGTAACCAAAGTAAAACAAAATGAACAAATAACAATAACACAATAAAGCTTTCTTTCCATGCTTACATTGCTTTTTTGTCCTCCAAAAGATGCAAGGTTCAAAAGACATATGAAATAAGTCATGAAAGTTGTAACGTTGTACATTAAACCAGAGTAATGTCCTTCCAGATCTGGATCTGCTGTTGTCTTCAAAATGAATGTTTGACTTCTCAAAAATACAAATAAAACACCTAACCTCAAATCTGCTGGCCTCCATCAAGGCCTGACCTATGTCTGTATGACCTAGTTACAAGTCAGCTAACCAATGGGCATGGGTTTTCTTGCCTCTAAAAATGGAAAAAAAAGCTTCCATATGATCATTCATGGAAAATGACTGCTCTTGAGCAGTTGCCAGAAAGGGGCCTTCAGGAGGCTACTGAACCAAACCTGCAAGGGAATTGTGAAACCCAAACTTTCTTTGTTGACCCTCCTGGGAAACCGGGGGTTCTTACCCTAGATGAATGAGAACTCTGATGTAGAGCATTCACCATGTGTGAGCCCCATTTGTGCTGTATGGACCAACAAAAAAGTCAAGTGTACGATAATTGTGATGGCTGACTCTGATGGGGTGAGAGAATGGCATATCCTCTAGGGTCCTGTGCTGAACGAGATTTAGTGTTAACCACTATTGACCCTTACCTAGAGTGAGCCTCAGTCCCAGTGTTGCTGACAACATTGGTAGCTTCCCCATCACAGATGATTCAAGTTTTATTTTTCAATCCATACAACTGTTTCCAGATCATACCTAAGTACAGTGTGATTTCGAAGCCTCTCTTGCATTTGACCTGTGGGGGTGCAGAAGAATAGGGGCTCAGATTTACATGACAGAACTGTTCTTCAGTTCCAGAGTGAGATTTTCTCTTAAATGAATGTGTAGGTGGAAGAGAATCTAAAGCCTCTTTGATGCTACCCATTCTGGTTCCCCTTATCCAGCATCTTGATAGAAAAGTGCACAGTGAAGTTACCTCCAATTCCTTTTAGGTTAGGATTTTAAACAAGAAGATCGATTTTAGCAAAGTTCAGTCCAGATGTGGTTCCAAGGATAACATCAAACATTCGGCTGGGGGCGGAAATGTAAGTAGAAGCGCCTGTTAGAAAGCTGTCCTGACTGCGTGGAGCCACCTGCACAGCCAGCACCCTGCCTTCTTTCCCACCTCTTTCCAACACACTGCTCCTTTCTCACTGCTGTTCCACATGTCTCCCTGGTATGATAGCTTGTAGTCTTGCATTTTCAGTGATGGACTTCCCATCCTTCCCTGTAAGATCATCAGGGAATTTATTGCTTTGATTTGGGAAAGAAAACCTCAATGGAATGCACCATGGTTTTCTGGAGAATGGCAAAACCACTTCACTTGCCAACTTTGTTGCTGGCCTTCTTGTCTTCAATGTATTTTCTCACGTTGTTTCTACTTCACTGCAAAAGTCAGCTGGGCACATATTTTTCTAGCTCCATATAAATTACCCTTGAGGCAAAGACTGATATACTTGTAAATGCCCAAAGTATGTAATGTCAATCTTCAGTGGTTCATTATTCATGAAAGTAAGGATATCATTTAGAATAATACAAAACTAGTGGAGCATGGTTCATCTATAATTCAAAGTGAAAGGATTCAAGTCCAGTGTACACTTTAGTTTGATGGGATTTTTTTCCTGTCTCTTTCATTTAGTGTAAATAATATCCTGTGAGAGGAAGGGAATGATGATTCCATGTTTTTTAAGTGTGGTTGAGGCAGAGTTGAAATGGTCAGACAATCTCAAGCTAAAGGAAGGATGGTTCTTTATAAAATAAGAATAGTTTTTCAAAGGTGATCAGGCTAACTGTATCCTACAGATCCTATCTCTTTGAACTTCAGTTTCTGATCATCAGTGACTCAAGTAATTTACAAGGCGTTGAGTCTAAAATCTCACCTGTCTATTAACTCTTGGCTACTTGCTTCTAACTGGGCAGAAGTAGAATCAAGCAGTGAAAGAGAGAGTGAGTGAGAGAGAGAGAGAGAGAGAGACAAGCAAGTGCCTTCTACAAGCAGCTGTTGCCTGATAATCAAAGTAGCTTCACTGAGCATAAAACTGTCACTGTCATTGAAAGTCCATAGCAATGTTTGCTGGCCCCCTTCAAGTATGCTAGGCTAAGCCTCAGGGTTAATCTTTACATTTATGTGGTTGCCACTCTTCCTTATTCCCCAGACTATAAGTATATACCATGTGGTACTTTCATAAAAGTAGCCCCAGGCCTGGTAATTACCTTGAGGATATCAGAGGATGAACCCAGCTATCCTTTACACAGGTGCTGCTGGACAAAACACCTAAGTGGAAAAGGATAAACTAGGATAATTAAAGATCTTAAAGTAAGTAGAGGAGCTTTATCTCCCAAAACAATAGTCTTAAATTTTCCTCTAGGAAAGAATCCCTTATTTAAATATGCAGTCATCCTGGCCCTGTCCTCATGATGCCTGTGATTCAGTAATTCCCAAGTACTCTTGTGCAGATGACAATGGACCAAACTTGGAGAAGCACTGCTTCAAATATTGGGAGAGGAAATATTTTCAGTAAAACACAGAGAAGAAAAAACATGTTGCTATCATTTTATAATTTGGTATGAAAGAAAAATTTCCTCTAGTTAAGATATGACAATGTAATAACTTAGAAAAGCACGTTCAGAACTTCTTGTATCTTAAAACAATGTTGGTCTTCTTGTAACTATGAGCAACATTGGTCACTGTTATGTAAAAATCACTTTATAAAGAATAATGCATCTCTTCTCTTGGCTCTTTGCTTATGGAAAGGTTTAACACAGTGTTGCTTAGTTCTCTGAGTGGAAGCTTGCCTTGTTAATATGTTTCTATCCTCCTGTGTCATAATCTGCTTTCAACTAATAAAATCTTCTATTCTAGGGTTTTCTGTCACTTGGGTTCTTCTTTCCAATCCAAACATGTGGGAGAATATATGGAAAAATATGTCTTCCTGTGTTTGTGTGTGTACTTCAGTTTGGGTTTCTAGCTATGTTGTTGCATGTTGTGACTTTGGGTATGTTTCTAGATTTTATGTATGAGCTTGGGTTTTTGTCCATGTTTGAACTATTTTAAGCATGTTTTATGTGGTTCACATAGGTACAAATTGTTACCAAGAAAATAGACCTAAGCCATGTGACATCCAAATGTGGCTCTCTGAAGAACATCCGCCACAGGCCAGGTAAATAAATAATTTTTAGTAGTTTGAGAAATATTTAATTGGAATCAAGAAATGGATGAGAAAATTTGTTGTTGTTGTTGTTGTTGCAAAATACCTAATTGGAAGGATGTTTTAAAATCTGAATACTTCACATTTTTATTAATAGAAACTAAAATTGAAAATTTCAAGGCATCTTCATTGGGGAAAAGTGAACCCAATCATACAATGAAGAGGACACATTTTAATTAAAAATTAAAAGGTACATAAGATGCATTTATCTTTATGTACTCAACATGCTTATTGGAGCTCCTTTGAAATATGTAGTCTATAAAATACATCAGATCATGTATTCATATATAATAACATTGAATGGAGGTAGCATTTCCAAAGTTTTTTTCCTAAAATTGGCTTTCTACATTATGTAAAATAAGGATTGTGCTTTGCAAAGCTGAAGAAATGTATTTATCTGGTGAATTTCTCAGATTCTTTATTAGGTCAGTAAACACCATGAATCTCCAGCAGAATGCAGTGTTTCCTCAACTTACTTGACCATGAACCCCTTTTGGTTTTTCAAAATATCTCATATGACTAGTGCTCTAAAGTAGAATTTATATTCATACTTACTGGGAGATTTTCTCCCTTTAAAGTGTGAATCTAACATTATGAGTCACTTTTCCTGAATATTGTGTATTACATGTTTTTGTTAAATTCTACCTCTGTAGAGTGGGCATGTTGGCTCATGCCTGTAATCCCAGCACTTCGGGAATCCAAGGCAGGAGGATTGCTTAAGGCCAGGAGTTTGAGACAGACTTGGCAACATAGGGAAACCCCTGTCTCAATAAAAAATTAAAAATAAAAATAAGCCAGATATGGTGGTACATGCTTGTAGTCCTAGCTACTTGGAAGGCTGAGGCAGGAGGATCACTTAGTTTCAGGAGTTCGAGGCTGCAGCAAGCTATGATCACACCACTGCACTCCAGCCTGGGCAACAGAGCAAGACCCTGTCCCAAAGAAAAAACTCTACCTCCATAGATATGTAATAAAAGACGACTGTCAAATTTGTAATTTTCTTGAGAATATTTTGACACAATTCATTTATCCCTGAGAACAAAAGGAAAGCAAGTGGTTTTAACTGTCTGTGTTTGGCATCTTAACATAAAAACAAAGTAATAGGTTTTTTTTCCCCATGAAACAAGGTGTAATAACAGTTGAGCTGTTAGCTGACAATTATTCTGCTAGTCAGGAGAAAATTATTAATAAATTATTGGTTGAAAAGCAAAGATAGGTAGAATAAATTTCAAAATGGATAAATGCATTGAAAACATCTGGAAATCAGGGTTCATTTTGTCAATGGGTGTTGATTATAAAGCAAGTCAAAGAGTTACAAACTATATTTATGAAGTCTTCACTACCAGTTACAGAACTGCTGCCATGGAATTAGCTTCTCTGTTTTTCATGAGGCAGCAGGAAGGTTGTCCCATACTGCACATCTTCGAAATCCCCCTGTCCACAGCTGAATTGTACAAACACTGAATTGACTTTGTACCGCTGTGTCAACAGCATGGCTGGAATACTTGGCAACACTGCCTATTTTCTTTCAGAATACAGAAGAAAATGCTGCACTCTTTAACCTAGACAGTAAGGTTATAGTTAGTCAAACTCACCTGTGATCTAGATGTACGCAAAAAATTTATATAGCCAAGGAACTATTCTGTGTATGATTTGTTGGTCATAAAAGGCTGTTGTCATGGACTCCCACCTATTTCTAAATCTAGCTCTTGCTTCTATTATAACTGAATCAAATGACTAAATTCATAAAGAAGTGTCGGCATAATAATCCTTGACAGCAGCAACCTTTTCACAAAGTTATTTTGGAATGTGGAATATCTAAAGAGAAAATAAAGAAAATAAACATCTGGAGGCACACATTGAAATATCTGTTCTTCTCAACTTCATTTATAAAGCTTGACAAAGATAATAGTCTTTCACAATTACTGCTCCTGATAGGTGAAAGAATTATTTGAAAAATCAAAGGCATAGATCTCTGAGTTTAAGATATCTGGATTCTCTAACAGTTGCATAAGAATTTCTAGAGGGACTTCATCAGAAATAGACTTCTTAAGCTTCCTTTTCTGAATATGTTTTGGGTCAATGTTATTATTTTTCTCTCTCAGAAGGCAGTTCATAGTGAGATTCCATCTCTACAATAAAAATAAAAATAAGCTGAGTGTGGTAGTGCACACCTGTAGTCCTAGCTACTCAGAGGGCTGGGGTGGGAGGATCACCTGAGCCCAAGAAGTCAAGGTTGCAGTGAGCTATGATCCTGTCACTTCACTCCATCCTGGGCAACAGAGCAGACCGTCTCCAACAATAAAAAATGACATTTTAGCAAAAATTGAGCAAGATTATGTTGACACAACATATAATCAGAAAAGTAAGTGATCTCTATCAGAGGCTACCAAAAATACAAAAATAAGATCACAAAGAAGTTGTTCTTATCTAGTTGAAAGTCCAACATCCTCTAACCTCTAACCAAGATAAGTCTATTTTATGAATCATTACGAATCATGTTCATCTCATCACAACCAACAAGTAAGACCCATATGGCCAGGTAAAATGTGGGAAGAATAACGCTCTAAAAAATGAGGCATATTTTGAGGGAAGGATAACTACATCTCTAAGCATGAGTTAAATAACATCATACAGTTTATAAGCCTTAAAAGAAGAATGAATGGATGTTTCTCCAAAATGTAATCTAATTGTGTAATATAATTTCAAGAGGCCCCTGGCAAGGCAGTTGGGTATTAACATAGATGTCTAGATATTGCATGAGAAAAATACCTCATGGCTTAAGAGACCTGTGAAGCCTTAGCAAACCTTCCTCCTTCGTCTACATGAGCAACAAGATTCCAAAATTGCAAAATCTCTTTCATATTTCCATACAGTCCCTCAGGCTTTTTTTCAAAATCAAACTTCCAAGCAAGGTGCACTTTATGTACTCAACATGTTTGTTGGAGCAGCTTTGAAATATGTAGTCTGTGACATACATCACAACCAACAAGTGAGACCTACATTACCACTGGCTTTCCAGAAGAACGCATGTGCTCAAAACAAAGCTGCTGTTAAAGTGAAAGCAAATCTCTTAGGTGGAGATGAGTAAATAAGGAGTCTCATTTCACTTTTTATGCAGGTCAAACACATCAGCAGACACTCAGAAATGGTCAAGGACAAGCTCAAGGACAACAAATAACTTAGCCAGTGTAGAACTTTCCGTATTTGCGAGCTTGAGAGAGACATGTAGAGATGGGGAAGACTACACTGAAGAGTGCAGCGTGGCTCTGTTACAATCAGCAGATCAGGGTTCTAGACTGAGTAGCATTAGGGAAAATGGCGTGGTCAAAACTCTGTCTCAATATTATCAGATCAAGGTCAGCGTCAAGTTGGTCCTACGGCATCCACACAAGAAAGAGAGGATGATCTGTCACTTCATATATGAATTAAAATGGGAGGCTTTTAAAGCTTACTAGTCGTAAACAACTTAGCTCCTGACTCATTTCATCAGTGAAGCTTTCAATGTTGAACATTTATAAATGAATATATTGCCCACATGTGCACCACTTCCAGCCTAAATCTTCTTTGGATAAGTAACCTGTTACCATGAAGAATAAAGAAGAGTTTCATTTAAATTTAATTTTGTCCCTTAGAAATAAGAGACTAAATGTTCCAACTTTTAGAAAGGATTCAAATAAAATATTTTCATTTTGCTAATTTTTAGAGTGTTTGTTATACCAAAAAGAAAAGCCCCTCTGATTTCTTAGGTTAGACATGGGTAAAGGAGAAAGGTATTAATATGTGAAGCAATCCATATAATGGTATAAGAAGGGTTTTATGGTCTTGGATCATCTGATGAAATGATATGGGCTAGAAATTCTAAAAGATTCCATTCACATATATGGTTGGAGGGATGGTAAAGTTAATAAATTTGTGGTTTGCAGCAGTCTATCTACTGCAATCATTTTTGGAAAATAATCACCACAAATGCAAGATATAGTTATATCAAATTAATTCTTCCCTCGTAGGTGGTGGACGTGTGAAAATTGAGAGTGTAAAACTAGATTTCAAAGAAAAGGCCCAAGCTAAAGTCGGTTCTCTTGATAATGCTCATCATGTACCTGGAGGTGGTAACGTCAAGGTAAGAAACAAGGTTATGAGCCAATGTTGTCTTTTAAAAAAAAAAAATTCTTCTGAAATACTCTTCATCAAAATAGGTCCCAGACTGAAGACCTGGACAAATAAGAAGTAGGGATAGCAGAGGTGAATAGAAGTCATTAATATCAGCCCTGGGAGATGGAGAAAGAAGTAGGGGCCAGTTAAGGTGCGTGAGTTAACGAGGACTGATGCTTGTCTTAAACAGATTGACAGCCAAAAGTTGAACTTCAGAGAGCATGCTAAAGCCCGTGTGGACCATGGGGCTGAGATCATTACACAGTCCCCAGGCAGATCCAGCGTGGCATCACCCCGACGACTCAGCAACGTCTCCTCGTCTGGAAGCATCAACCTGCTTGAATCTCCTCAGCTTGCCACTTTGGCTGAGGATGTCACTGCTGCACTCGCTAAGCAGGGCTTGTGAATATTTCTCATTTAGCATTGAAATAATAATATTTAGGCATGAGCTCTTGGCAGGAGTGGGCTCTGAGCAGGTGTTACATTCATTCTTTATAAACCATAAAATAAATAATCTCATCCCCAAACTGTAGTAATTGTTACAATTTTATATTTAAAAAATGAATAGTACATGCAGAAATTGACCTGATTTCCATTTGCAACAGGAAGACACTGGCTTTACATGGGTTCAATTGGACAATTATTTTTGCTCTGCTCTGTTTTGCATGGAGTATTATTTTAAAAATTGCATTTTTACCTTTCATGTGCCTGAAGGCTATCCACTACATTCTGAAGGCCTTGTTAAATCCAAGCTGCTCATTTCACTATTCTGTTTCTGAGTGAGAAGATAAAAACTGCCCATTGTAACTTATTTCAGGTTAAATTAAACCAAGGAGTCTGATTGCAGGAAGGGAAGAGCATGTAAGAAATAAGTTTTTTTAAAGTGTTATTTTGTATAAATGGGAAGAAAGATTCAATTACGTTATTAACATTTGGGACCTGGATAATTATATCAGAGTATGTCAATCCAATAAATTATTTAACTAATTAAAAAAATAGATTGCAAAGCATTTGAGCTGTGGTTGAGGAAGTGGTGTAAAAGTGCATCCCTTAGGAATGATGCACTTTCATTAGGATGGACTCGTGTCTGATTAGAATGTCAGTTGATCAGCTAGATTTGTGTCCACACTACCAGTTTCACACCCCCTTTCCATCTGTTTGATACAGTATTATAGATATAAATATATATATATTTCTCTGTGGCCATTTGTGATACTTCCTCATATACTTGAATATTATACTTCTTTATTCACAGTATCTGTGTCTCCTGCACCCTTTGGTGTTGCAATTTTAGGTATGTGAAAGTAGATGTTAGCAGGGTTCTCTCCCTATTTAAAAAAAATACATTAAAAAAGACAAAAAATTTTAGCATGAAGTTGCTTTCTGTAACAACTCAAAGCCGTAACCCTGTTTTAGTGCCAGATTCAAGTCTCTCCCGTGATGCTAGAAAAAAATTATTTTTCTTTGCTGTCACCAACATGGAGTTTGTGGGGGTGGGTCCAGTTATACATGAAAGGGTTTACAGATTGTTGGTTTAAGATTATGGATTTATCTCATTTTTAATCACAGGATAGTTTGGCGTTTATTCCTATTATTATTCACAAAACGGACTTAAGATGTTTTCTTTACTTTTCCTTTTTTTCCATTTGCTAAAGTTGAAAGTTGAAACTAACAGTAATAGTTTGAAACATGTTTTCTCATTTTTCCAAGTAGTATCTGTTTATTAAATTCTCTAATAGAAGATGTTTGTCTTTCTTACCCAAAGTAAAGATCCCCTGATCCGAAAGAAAAAAATACAATACTTTGGGAAGCTATAGCTATAAAACACTTGAGACACAGATATCTAAATCAGTTTTTTTCCAAGACTCCAACATTGCACTCTGTAAAGTAACACAGTGTGATCTAGTATTATTTATCAGAGGTAATACTGTTCTGACTGTATATACAGTCTAGAACTGACAAATCAATTAATTCCTCTCACAAATCATTCATCTTAGACTTACAAATAAGCAATGAAATAGTCAATGGCCTGATTAAGACAAAGAGCTACCAGGCTGGATGGACACTTTTTAGTATTTTATCTTTTCTTTTTCTTGCTCAGGGCTGGTAGGTTGGATCTGAACCATTAAAATCATATGGTCCACTAGGCGTATGATCTCTTTGAGCCAAATCAGTTCCTGAATATAAAGGAGGAAATGATGAGGATGGACTGAGGCAACAGGGAAGTATAGAAACATCCAAGTCAAAAGCCAAGGGATGCAGAAACAGAGACACAGGTGCTTTTTGGTGACCCAGTGGATATGGCAACCAATGTAACTGCCATACAAGAAACCCTAGGAGCAAACCCACACCACTCATTCTCAGCTAAGAGATTTTACACAGGCAAACATGTCTTAAACCATTTATAAATCAGTTATTTTATATAATAGTCAAAACCTTAGAAACCTTAGGATCATAGATATGTCTATTTTCTGCCTATTAATTGCTGTGAGGTTTGATTTGACCAATCTGGGCAATTTATTCATCAGCTTCCCTTGAAGTGCACCAGAAAATGGAAGAAAGGTGTGTGGAGACTTAGGGTATTTTATTACATGTTTTGATAGTCTTAAATAGTGATTAAATTTATCTAGAAAGAAGTTAACAGCTCATTAGAAAAGTTTTAACCTGTGAAATAAGTATTTTTCTCAACATTCTTTAAAGTTTTTATGTAAGTTAACACTAGGTAAACATTCTACATACTAAAAGTCAGTTTATTACAAATACATATCAAAAATAAAGATTATACAAGGCACCAAACTACTAGATTTGGCATTAAAACAAATGTTTATTTCTAATCACAACAAAATTATAATGAATAAATGTTCTTGCTTTGTATGGAAATACAATTCTTTATTAAAGTTAACAGAAAGGAACTGATCATTTGTGCCAGTAAAAGAGAGAAACACACAGGTTAAATGTCTTCTTGTGGGGTTAAGGGGTAGAACCTATCTTGCCTTCACTCTCAAGATAACGACTCAAATTAAGCTTTTTGAGCACCACTCTTGTGGGGACACACATACGCTGATCTAGGAATGAAATCTTCGTGGTCTCAATTCTAGATCCACTTTGCCAGTTTCTCTCTGGCTTTAGCCTTTGAGAACCTGTATAAGAATACATAAGTAATCCAGAGCTGTGAAGAGTTAAAAGGCCAACTTCTCCAGTGAACTCACCCTCTGGGTCACTTGCAACCAAAAATTGGATACCTCATAATGATGCAGGAAAGACCCGAGTTCTTGATGAGTTCCAAAGGCCACGTTCATTTATGAACCAACTCTCTCTGGATTCACCTGCTGAATTCCAGCAGCGTGATGGGCTGACATCCCACCTACAAGCATGACACCTGTGTAACACCAGCTAGGTATGGCTGAGGAAGGCTGAAAGAAAGCCATTAAATGGAAGAATGTACTGATTGTAGTGACCTTCTCCACACACACACACACACACACACACACACCTAGAGTAATACAGCAAATATGGAATAATCAGCCAATATATAACATTACGTCAGTATTTTATTAAATAATCTGAATGTGGTTGATTTTGACATCGCTGCAATTACAATTTTCTTCTATTTTTCAAGTCACAATAAGGAAAATAAACTACTCATGGTCTAAATACCAGAGATAAAGTAGACTCATGGCTTGGTAAGGAAATTTTAAGCATTTCTTCAAAGATTGACGTGCAAAAATAAGTATTGATGTTTTGGGTTTTTTTACACCTAGGATTTTAGCTTGGGTGTGTAGGTGAAGGCCAAGACCCTCTGTAGGAAAAAGCTTATTTTCAAACTCAGAAAATAAAATGTCAATCATAAAAATCTACTTCAACTTTAGCAAAAAGAAAAAAAAAAAATCAACAAAAAGTATACTCTGTATGCTGGGATTCCGAGGTTCCAACACACCGTTACAAATCTGTGGGGGGTTTCTTTCTTCTGATAATTCTAGAGCCTGTTACCATAGAAAGGCATTTCTTCAATGGCTGGTTGTAGTTAGTTCATGTTTTTCAATCAAATTTGCAAATGTATTTGTTGCTGTATAGTGATTGTTTTGCAAAATAAAATTGCTTGTCACCTAACTGCTAGTTCTGGTTTCAGACTGTTTAATTGCTTCTCCTCTGGGAAAAAAAAAAAAAATATATATATATATATATATAGAGAGAGAGAGAGAGAGAATATATATATATATACATATATATATATATATATATATATATAGAGAGAGAGAGAGAGAGAGAGAGTGTGTGTGTAATACAACCAAAGAAAAATTGTGAAAACAAGGCCATTATTATGGCTGAGTTTCTATTATGTGTCAGGCCCTATACTAAATGATTTTATATTAGCTCAATTAATAAGGAAATTTATTTTTATCACTACTGTATTAGCAGGATGCTATCTTTTGCAAGTGACAAAAACTCTAATTAAATGGGCTTTAACATAAAAGTGAATTTGTAGGCTCAAGTAACTGACTACCGAGGTGTATCTGCCTCAGGCATGGCTAGATCCAGGCCCTCAAACAATGTCATCAGGAATTTTTCCTTTTCCAACTTTCAGCTTTGTTTCCTCTGTGTTGGCTTCCTTCTCAGTCAGGCACCCCTTCCATAATGGGCACCAGAAACTCCAGATTTCACAACCTACCAAAGAAAGCCCCTTTGTAGTAGTTCAAATCCAGGGTCTGAAAATCACTGAACTATTAATACTTGGATATCCTGCCTACTTATGCTAATTGACCAGGCTTGGCTCACATACCCAAGTCAATCACAGGTGGTTGGAATAGTAGGAGAATAAGAGGATAAGTGGCTTTATTGTCCTCCATACTACCTGAGCTAATCACGGAGAGGAAACATTTCCTCCAAAGTTAATTCAGGCTACTCCTGCCGGAAGAGAGGAATTGATACTGTACAGGTCACAAAAACATATATGTGGCATAGCTGCACCCCTGCTCATCTTTTAGCTCCTTACAGCTCAGATTATGCTCAGGCTTCACCAGGGAGCTTGATAGAAATACAAATTTCTGGGCTCCACCCCAGACCAACTTACTAACATTCCCCCAGGTGATTCATCTGCACTCAAAAATTTGAGAAACACTCAGCTCGTTCGGTCCCTGCTAATGTGTTTAAGGAGAAAGAGCTCCATTGCAGGCTTCTAATGGATAAAAATTATCCCAAAGACTATTTGAGACAGCATCCCTACCTCTGATGTCAAACTAGGAACCAAGACATAGAAAGCTGTGACTGGTAAAGGAAATACTTCTGTCTGTATTAGAGGTTTTCCAGCCCTCAAGATTATTTTAAGTTTACTAAAACCTACTTCTCTTATTAATGGCATCACTTCTTGTCCAGTCTGCCTTTGCTAATAATGAAGATTTTGTAGAACCTAGCAAGAATTATTAGTGTACGTGTGATAATTCCTTAAAATCAGCACACATGTTGTCACTCAAGAGTCTTCAAACCACGAGGATTAAATTTGTCCAGTAGCATGAATCACCACAAAATTGTTGGTTTCTTTTCTATTAGTTAACAAGGCAAGGAAAGGTTTATTTGCCTTGACAAGAGACAAATAACTGCTAAATAATGGAGGACGACAGGATAACATTCAGTGTAACTTACAGAAAGATCAATGTTCCTCTTCTTATGATGTGGCACTTGCTTGTAGACCTGAGACTTCAAGAATTTAGGGCTAGAAAATTGTCAAAAGTATACAATCTAGCAACAGAAAATTGTTTCAAAATATTAAGCCCTTCGCTAGATTTTCTTGAGCATGATGAAGCAGCATCATAGACACACTCTTTAAAGCCCCTTTTTCTACCTCTCATGCCTTTCCCTCACAAATATGCCTCAGTTGTTCCTACTTCTACTCCCTTAAATTCCGAGACAATCTGTGTCCCAGGCCTCAGTTGAGGTAATAAACCTGTGGCCTCTAAATAGGCTTTATTTGGCCTTCAAAGTGTTTTCAAATTTCAGAAAGTTCACACACACATCCCAGATTTGGATCTTCACTCTTGGTGACCATTGATCAGAGCTGTCCATGGGTACCTCTGAGATGGGGTTTCTTCCCTTGACTTGGCCACTATGCCCAGCTATGCTTATTGTTTTCTCCCACTCCTCTTCTTTCACTCATTATGATAAGCATTAAACTACAGATCTAGAGTTTGTAAACCTTGACCTAGGCACACTTGTCTTTCTCTCCAATATTTTCCTCTTCCTATGAAACAAAAGTCCAAAATCCTAGAGCCCCTAATCCTAGAGCCAGGGAGTCAGGTAGGTTTAGACTGGGATCCTCAGGGTGACGAAGAACTGGGAACACCAATATTTATAGCTTTTGTCCTGTCTCAAAAAAAAAAGGAACATTTATGTCATAGTAGCAACTGTTAACATCCATGATAAACATATCTAAGTTTCTGCACACCGCTTATGTTTATCATTGAATCAAGGGAAAAAAAAAACTGCAGTGGAGTTTGTTTCCTTGTCATACCACCTATGGTAAAGATCTCATTGTCAAGTGAGAAATGATAAAAACTATTATCTTACTCAGTAGGACTGAACATGTAGGATACTTGCCTATTCCTTTTAGGAACAAAGAAAGGCATAGATAGGAAACACTCTAGCCTAGACAAGCCAATGTTCTTGAACCCAAGGCTGATCTTCTGGCAACTTACATGTTATTTAATTGAATAAGTTGCTTAAATATTGAAAGACTTGCTGCCCAAGCCTCCTCCCCCTTATCAATGCCCACGTTGGCCACCCAAACCTATTCTTCTGTGCTCCACAGATGTCCTCTGATTCCAGCACATACAAAGGGACAGAAGAAGGTCTTCAAGATCCTGCTCCAGTCCCCCGAAAAGCCCTGGCTTCCAGGCATCACCAGTGGCTACTGTCCCCCAAAGGCTCCTGAGAACTAGCTTGTGCCTTACAAACTGTTGCAGGAAGCCCAGATGGGCAGCACAGGAGGTCTATACTGACACCTAGCAGCCTGCTTTCCTGCCAGACAGCCTGCCACAGCTCTTACTTGCCTACCTCATTCCCGCATTACAAGTCAGGAGATTGGAACCCCCCAGGGGAGATAGTGCCTTTAGTGACATGTTGGTAGGCAAATACCTCATGCACATATAACCATACCTTAACTATGGTCACCTGTTGTCAGTCACTAATCCCCTAAGAACCTCTCTCATGTGGTTGCTTATGAAAACTAGTCACCACAGGGCTTGAACTCTTAGCATGGTATAAAAGATAGACAACAGGAACTAAGGGGGTAGTACAGGTTCCCAAGGCCACAAACAGAAGGATGTTGTAATAGATAGGCTAGCCTATGGGATGATTCGGACTAACAGATGCCTAAGGTAAGGAGTTTTTTATGGTCCATATTCATAGTCACCTCCATTTTAAACCTACCCAAAGCCCAACTGATGTGGGTATTACCAATTTTAATTTTATTCTTATTTAGTGATTGTGCCAGGCATCCTTAAAAACATGCGTTAACTCCTAATTGTACTGTATTTATCAGCATCATCATTTTACAGATGAGGAAACTGGAGCTTAGGTCATTTAAAACTTAACGGCAGAGCCAGAATTTTAACCCAAACAGCCCAACAATAGATGTTTCATCTAATGGATTAGGTTTAACCTAATTAAATATTCTAATAAATCATTTTTATGACAGTTAATGATATCAAATACAAGATATATAATACCTTATTATATTTCAGTATTACAAGGGCTAGAAAAATGTTTATATATTTGCTATTTGGCAAAGGATAAAATAGGTTTATGAATAATAAATAGCATTTATGTAAACAGAAATGCTTTTTTTTCAAATAAATAAATACAAGTCATCCAATGACAACCAATTTGAAGTCATTGGAATCATTTTATGCGGTTCTCTGCATCAAGTCATGGCTTGTACAAAAAAAAAAATCCAGCAAGTGACATCTAAGTCAAGCAAAGATCAGCCAAAAATTTCTAAAATTCAACAATTTATTTGGAAATTTCTAGGAAAATTGTATAAGCTATTTGTACTACAACACACATCACTCAGTAAGCAGTCTTATAATTCATATTGTTTAGAGAATAAAAGCAAGTTTTCTAGTATATATGTTAACTTATAATAGTGTACCAGCCACTAAATATTTTAACATCACCCTTGCTTCCAGCCTCATTATAAGCATGACATGTCACTTAGATTTTCCTTATGAAAACAAGGATCTGCAGTTCACAGCACAAAATATGAGAATGCCCTATTAAGCCTTAGATGTGGAATGCACACTTCAGACAGTCTTGTTGAATTTTGGGAATATTAGTAAACAAAAATATGCTGATATTCTTTAGCATCAGAAAACTAAGACACAAGCCAAGGGGACTTCTCAGCCATTTTTCTGCTTCAAAAGCACAAAAAGCAGAAAACACTCATTATGTGAATACCAGAGCACCAATATTTCATCTTTTCCTGTGTAACCAGAATGTTGAACAAGCATGACTCATATGAATTTTGATCAAAACACAAATTTATTTTTGTCTCTCACAGTTCCTTTAAACATCCTACTGAATGGTGAAAGAAATCTTCCCCTGCCTCAAGCTGAAGACATGGTCAAACCCATGACTTTTTAGTCATTCTCAGATCATAAAATTATTTTGATTATAAAAAGAAGTCTCGATTATAAAGAGTCTCATTTCAGACATTAAAACGTCCAATGCATGAAATAATGAAAATGCTGAACGGATGGTGTAAGATCTGTACCATGGATTTGCCTTCAGGCTGCAAGCCTGCATTGAGGTTGTGGCATAGTTATCTGTTTCCTTCTCTATGGACTCACTTTTTTCCCTCCTGACAGGTGCTGGGTTTGCTGGGTTAGAAAAAGTAAGGAGGGGTCTTACTTGATTGGGGATGTTGCACTCCATGACTGTGGTGGCTTAAGCAGATCTTTTCTCTTTTTCCGTGGACATCCAGTGATACACCTCCAGCCTCTTTCTACTGAGACATCTAGCCCATCTAGGCAGTCCTACTGGATAGGACCCAAGATGTCTCTCTCCAACTCTCTCCCCCACCTCTCTCTCACCTGGCCTGCATGTATCACCTACCCTAA